CGAGCACATTCACTCCCCTTTTTGCCCTTAATATGCTTGAAAAGTCAGGCAGGCATATCACCAAGTAATGTCAACTTGGATTATTTTTTTTTAAGTATTGTAGCTGAGAATGTAAAGCTAACAGCTCCTCCTGGTGGCTTGGAACAACTTGCATTGGCTACTTAGTTGTTAACTGCAAGTTCTGCATTTGGTATCCTCTTTTTACTTCTGCAGTAGCCTGCAGCCCTTGTCCCTTGGCTTCTCACTTTGTGGATAATTTTTCTTCTAGGAAGAGAATCAGTACCAGATGACTTGGAGTTGAACTAACTATCACTTTGATATTGGATGGAGGGATCTGCTTTTTCTTCAAGGTTTTGGGAATATTAAAATTAGCTTCTCCGGAAGATAGAAAAGCTGTTTTGTTCTTCTTTTCCTTCTCTTTCTTCTCCTCAGCATGGATAGGTCCATTTTAGAGCTATAATTTACAACTCTTGGTCAAACTAATTGAAAATTGTGGGTATGGTAGTAATTCAGCAATATTTGGACAAAAAAAAGTCTTAACTTCTGAAGGATGGGAAGGAGCTAACCAAAAGGCTGTCGTGAACAGATATTAAATCTTAAATCTCTCAATTCAATCATTATTTTGATGGTAGTCAATAGTGTTAAAATTGCATTTAAGAAAGAGACAAACTAATTCCAGAGTCAAGCGATGCTCCTCCAAATACTGTAGCTATAGGTTTGTCTGTACTGACTTCAGTTTGTTAAAACATCCCTTTCTCTGCTACCCTATGTGGGCAGCAGGAGGATCACTAAACATCACTGACAAGTGCATGTGGCATATGTCAGAAACCAAAGGTCAAGCTCACCAACCTTATAGACAAGCATAGTCCTGCAAATTCTTAGGTTCAAAAGTACTCAGTTATGCCCTGGGAGAGATTAAAAAAGGCAGACATGCAGGCAGTATGGGGCTGGATTGAAGTTCCTGATTTTCAAACCTTGTTCTTTCCCTTCTGAACCTGACATGTTGGAGCACTTTTCATCATTACCAGCCAACCTGTTGTGGATCACCTGATTCTCTTCCTGCTCTCCCACTGCTTCTTTGGATTGAATGGCAAGATTGTCTCCTAACTCTGGAATTCTATGACCATCTATTTCTGATCCAGCTTTCATAAAAATGTATTTCAGTTAATTTACATTACAAAGAGCCATGGGTTTTATATTCACTTGCTTTGTATATTACAAATATAATAAATAAATACAGACAAAAAAGCTGCAATCATAAAACTATAAAAGTAGAAGTAAGAGATTCATTAGGATTAAGACTGCAGCTTCAAAACTGAAAAAATGAAAACTGGATTCAGAGAGCTGTCTTTTCAAGTGCCAGGTGAAATATATGACAAGATTGTTCCACAACCAATAATCCCCTTTTAGAAGAAAGCTTCACAACCTGATACTTAAATAAAAGCTAAGTTAATCCATCAGAGACATTAATTAATGCAAAATCTTGCATTTTGAGATATACCTACTCTGCAAGCCCTACAAGCCCTTTCTATTGAGAATAACTTTTCATTTAATGAAAAACTGAGAGAAGAGCTTTAAAATAACTTGGAGTATTTTCTCATGGCTATGTTTAATTTTTCTTGAATTGGAACAGGTATGTTCCCAAGGTATGGTCAAGAAACTCAAGAGAATAGTGATTAGTGGAAGTTCTGCCTTTTTTTATATGTGTCCCTTGAACTAACCAAGAACAGAAATATTGCCACAAACTGTACCATCTCCATTGTTGAGCTTTAGTGTGCCAGAGAGTAGTAGAGCACATCCTTAGTAGCTCAGGGAGTAATGCTATTCTTACAGTTGTGATGTGCAATAGTTTCAAGGCAGCAGCTAGTGGATTTTCATTTTCTTTTCCTCTCCTAGCCAGCAGGAAAAAGTTTCAACTACTAACAGGAAACTAACCACCAACTGCTCTTCACAAAGGATTTGTTTCAGGGACATTATATTCTGCCTTCCTTCATCATGTGTCCCATCAGCCAGGATATCAGAATTTTTATTTTATTTTAGTTTTTGGGGCATAGGCCTATCAATCTCCTGGGTATTGGGTAGACCTCTATCCAAACAAAACCCAACATTTTTCCTCCTCTTAACATATAGCATCATTTCCATTTACTAAGTTGCAATCTATAGGATCTTTACTAAATCTCTCAAAAATTAAAAATAAATTGGTATGTCTCTAGATATTTCCACAGTAAATTAAGCGATAGGAACTTTCCAATGTATGGTTATCATAATCTCTGGCACATTTACTCAGAAATAAGACTATAAACACACACACACAAAGACACAAACTAGCCCATTTGTTCCTTCTATACTTGCAAAGCATCTTTGCTTTCACCATAGGTTGATTTACCTATTGCCTTTTGTTTTGTTTTTTTTATATTTTTCCTCTCTTTTTAATTCCATCCGGCCTAAGCTTCCCCTTCCTTGCATCCCATTTATTTTTTTCCACAGATATTTGTTTTCTGATTTCATTTTCATCATCTATTTCAAGCTGCTCTCACATCTATTGTGTCCATTTTCTATTTTGATTGTTGGAAGATTAATCTAACTGTTAATCTGCATTCAACTGCATTCAAACTATTTTTACTTTTTCATTTTCTTTTTTGTATAATTTCTCTCCTACAACTATTTTTAGCACTACCAAGTAATTCAGAATCTCTTATCACCTTTATATCCTTCATTAATTCTCTTGTGTTTCATCATAACCAATCAAATCAATTATGTTCTTCAAATCATTCCTTTTCCATGTGTACTTATGAAGAACCAGATGCTTGAATCTTATATCTGAAGCAAGCATGCTTTTTTCTAAGCAGATACCCACCACTCAGTCACTATCCTTACTTATTCATGGATTTCATATGACTCAATCTGCACACACTTCCTTGAGCTCACCCATCAATTCATGTCATCCCTTCCATAGCATTTGTTTAAAAAGTTGCACACATTTTCTCAAAACTCATCTTTAGTTTTTCCATTAGCACCACTCTAGGGAATATACTGCAATATGCAAATTATCACCAACTTATACATTCTTATTTCATTCTGCACCCACAACAATTTAAAATATGTCAGTTTATGCTTTCTGACTTGAATGTCAGTCTCTTCACTCATAATTAAACCTCTACCTTCCCTGTGTGTATTAATCAATTCTAGTCCATATTATCTGGCCACCTGTCTTCAAACCAATTACATCTTTTCCAATTCTCTTTGTTTTATAGACAAAAATAGGTTCATTTCATTTGCACACTCTTTACTGTTTACTTCTTTTACATTCCACATTACAATCTTCCATATGCCAGTTTTGCCAACAGATAAGCCCATAGATACCAACTTTGCTATTCATCATGACTTTGATCTATCATTATTTTCAAGTAACATATTTTAGATTAGATTGAGTCATGAAACAGCCTAAAAACATGACACAGGAAGCATTCCCTGATAACAGTGAAGATAATGCCGGTGAATTGGGACATATTTTGTTAATAGTATGCGCAAGGTACAGCCCAAACCCAATTATTCCCAAGAATGTTCCTGCTATTCTACATACAAATTAGGATCCCTAACCTAGAAATTCCTTAGAAACCTATAAACTCTTGCCACCATCAACTAATACATTTGATATGTGACCCACATCCCTCATATTTTCAGCATAGATCATCCCATGACCAGCAGGTTAGTTGGAAAAGGATGTACATGCCTTAGCCCTTCCCCTATGGAGCTCCCCAAATTGAAAACAAAATTATCCTGCATAACTTTCATTATGTCTCTTTTGAACAAGAGAACAAATTGCAGATTTTGCTTCTAAATTTATTTTGCCTGTAAATCTTTCCACTCTTCCAAGTTGAGATTTTTTTCTCCATGGAGTATAAAACTGTAGGTCTATCCATGTGCCTGCCTATCCTTCAATTCATTTAATCACATAGCCATCTTTTCCCTAGTGAGAAGAATAGCCTTATTAGGAGGCAGGTTAATTTAGAACAGAAGAAACAAAGCAAAACTCAGAAAATCTTCAGCTCATTAAACAATTCAGCATTGGGAGGAGGGCTCATAATTTATGCTCAATAGGTTTGTGGTGGAGCAGGAGTTTTTCTGGAAATGTGAGGCTCTACTTTATGGGCCTTTCTTCATACAAATCAATACAAGGCTGGTAGATCAAAATCCAGAACACTCACAGCACATGCCATTTGTTTACCCATTCTCAAAATGAGAAGCAGCTGCACAAGGGCTATGTGCACACAAGGGCTATGTTCTCCCAACTACATCTTGGGGACTGCCTTCACATGACATGTTTTCCTGGTTAGTAGCAACTCTCCCTCCTCCTCTTCCTCCTCCTTTCTCCCTTCTCCTTTCTGTGCTACATCAACCTAGCCAGTTAATTCAGTCTGTAATTTAATGAATTGTGTAAATCTAGACAACAATGGGTCAGTTCAGTAACTATTTTGAGCATGTTTTATGAACTTAGCCAGAACAGTTTGAGTGGAGAAGCAGTTTTATAAAGAAAGGCAATTTAGATGTTTGGGTGGTATACCCCAGGCTATTCCAACAGGGACCCCAACTGGGACCAGTCAAAATCTAGCTGAGGATAATCAAGCTGCTCTCAGATAATTGGTAGGTAACTTTTTTTATTTCTTCTATCAGCCCCTTTCTTTAACAAATATTAATTTGTCAGAAAACAACCTTGTCTTCATATGGTGAACAGGTCAATGTCTGTCTGGAAAAAATACCCTCCCAATCCATTTGTATACTGGAATGGCAAAAATCTAAAAATAAAATCAAGTGACTTAGAATTATTATTGAGACTCAGAGTTAACTGTTGGGAGACTACTGTGATTATTAGATTATTTGCTGGTTAAACTCAATGCTCGTGATAAGTTAATTATAAACTGAAGGAGGAAAAACACTTACAGGAAGGGAAGGCTAGGTATGTTTAAACACAGCTCCCTTAGCAACCAGTCTGACAACTTTCTTCCTGCTGGTATTTTCTACTGACCAGTGAGGCCTTGCCATGGATCCAGGGGGCAACAGCACTGTCTCCCCACAAGTGTACCTCATTCAGCAACCAGTAAGTCACTGCAGTGGGTGGGAATATTGAAAGGTATCTCATTCTGGCAGCAGAGAGAAGAATCTTTGTAATCCTGCACGTCTTTTTGATTCGGTTCCAACCAAGAAAAGTTCTGGGTGGTTACCAAGTGTGTGGGTTAGACAATACTGCAATGGAAGAGGCAATATATTTTATATGCTATAACTAATTGTAACATCCCTCCTGAGTCCCAAATGGAGAACAGAAAATGGAAATATAACAAGAATTCTTGTGTCACCTAAAAGTCTAGCATATTTATGACTGCATAAAATTTACATATCTTGATCCACTTTATCAGAGGCAGGGAATATAGTCAGAGAGAACAGTGTTATATAATGCAGCTGTCGATGCTGGAGGAGTTAGGTATAATATCCCTGCCTTAATTAAGCTGATGAAGTAGACAGAGATATACTAAAGCTTAGGTGATAATAAGTGAATTAAATCATGCAGACCTCTTTTGCACTGACAGTGAAAAACCAACATGATCACCTTTCTGCCAACTGAAAATGAGCACAGAAAAACTTTGTGTAAATCTATGCCCACAGAACATAGATGACAAATAGTTGTGCCATGCCCAATTGCCCTTAGAGATTTTTTATCTAACAATAGCTTTGTTTAACATCTTCACCTCGGCAGCAATCCTGAGAGGGATCTGAAAACCGCCCCTCTTCATCTACTCATGAAGAAACATGACTTATTTTTTTCTGTCAAATTATGATGACATTGCCTTCATCTGATCAGTGGTCCATATATGCTGAGATGCCTTCAAGTTGTTCTTAGCTGTATTAATGTTGAGGTAAATTCCTGTAATGTTGAGGTAAATTCCTGATACATTTCTTTAATTGTAAATATGTTTGGACATCTCTCACTAATCATTCCATTAGTATCTCCCAGGACTGGGACTGTATCAGCACCCAGTGGCCATTTTGGGATGGTTCAGGCCTGCCTCAATCTTTCTTTTCCTTGGGCACTTCCACATTCTCCAGAGCCCTTCTGCTGTGAGCAAAGGAGAGTCTGTAGCAGTTATTCCAAATGAAACTCTCCCGTTGAACTCATTAGGTCTTCCAGTCTTGGAAAGAGGAATTATCATAATGAATAAATGATGGGGATGAAGGGAAAGGCTGTGCAGTGCAGTGCAACCCTGGGAGCACTTCTACCAACCTATCAGCTGCTAGGTGGGTTATTTTAAAACATGGGCTAAGTGTTCTTTCTCTAAATCACTAAAATTGTGTTTAAAAATAGCTAACCCAACTGCTGACAAGCACAGGAAAGGGGTTTTACAATGCTACAGGAGAGGGAATCATGCTTTATGGTGCAACACCATCTTTCATCAGCTTGGTGAAGTGAAAGAGCAGTACATCATGTTTAAAGATAGCTTGACAGGCATGCTGTGGACTGTGTGATGCAGCAGGAGCCTCCAAAAGTATGCAATTTCCTCCTGAAAGCTGTACATTGCAGAGGAAGTTGTGTGGTGCAGTAGGAGGAGACTTCTGCCAAATTGTTCAAATTGAGTGGGTTTCTGCAATGCAGCAGGAATTCTGTGATTCAACTTAGAAATAAGAGCAAAAATCTGGAGTCTCTGGCTCAAATTCAAGAAGGTGTCTTGAGCAGAGGGAACCAGCTGAATAACTAAAGATCAGAAAAAGGGCAGTGCTAGATAAAAGAGTCAGTTTAGAGGGGGGATTTGGCGATACAAACATTATTTACCCATTTGTAATTTCAGTTTTAATTTTTACTAAACTTTTTTAATGTTAATTTTTACTAATTATCATTTTAATTAATTGATTTAATTAGTCAATCTGCTTATGCAGTATGTTGTTCAGATGTTCTTTAAATCAATATGTAACGTAAACTGGTGTTCTGATTTTGATGAATTTGTCCCTCATGCTGGCTTGAAAGACAGGGGCGGCAAGGGATGGCATCAGTAGGCATTAGAGCAGGTTATTCTGTGAATCTTTGAGAAAATCTAGTCTTAGAGGCTTATAAGAAGTGGACCCTCTATATAATCCTTAAATCACCCAGCGTGTACAGTTTTGCCCATGATCAAAAATCTGAATAAAGCTTCACTTTAAAGAGATGGTGAAAGGTGTGACAGTATTATTGTAGAGAATGAGCCTGAAAAGTCATCCTGGTGCAAAAGAGGTCCACTCTAATCTACCAAAAGATTCCCGGGAGATCCACAGTATATAGGCCAACATTTCTGTTTGCAGTTGTTTAACCATCAGAAGAACTTGGATCCCATCCATTCTAAATTATACCACTGGGAGGAAAGAAGCCAGGGATGCCTAGGTGTGCATTTAGCTTAAATCCAATCTAGCTCAATCAGATGTATAAGTTTTGTATAAAACAACAATAACAGAACCTTATCCAGGAAAAAGTGGTAAGAGTCAGGCCCCCCAAGACAGCCTGCTCTTCTCTGAATTTCCTTCCATTGTTTCTCAGATTCCTCAAGAGCCAGAAGTGACCATTCTCCAACAGATGCCACCGACATTTCCTCAGTCCAGCTGCACAAGCCACTTCAGAGAAAGTAAGAAATCAAGTCTACCAATTTGCTAGAGAACAGAGATTGATGGAAGGAGGAGATCCTAAAAGAAACAGCTGATTATGTTGGAACATATCTATGTGTTACTAGTCCGAAAAATTCCACCCCACCCCATACTACTATCTGAAAATGAATAAATTCAGAATATTTTAAAGCTTAAATTATTTTTGAGTCTCTTTTAATCTATTATATCAATATATTAATATATTCTAATAATGGTTTTTTTAAAATCTGATTTATAATGAAGCATGTAGCTTTTTATATTTCTGATATAAATTGCTTTTAGCTCCACACATGATCTAAATATTTTTCTTAACCTGTAAAATGATGCCAATCTCTCTTGAGTCTTCAACTGATGTAGGAATTTACAAACCTGCTTTGACTTTTGCAAGATAATCTTGCAGCAATAGCTTTCCAGTTTTGCCACTCTATTATAATGTGGATATTTTTTAAAATTATAAAATGGAGTATTGTTAATATCAGTTATTACAAACAAAAAAAGAAAGACCAGAAATCACAACAAAATATATGTGAGGCATGTAATTCCATCGGACATACATCTCTACCACATTTGAAAAACATAATTCACAAGCGATGCTACAAATATTGGTCAGTAGAGACCAGTCACTGTCTCAAAACTGATTCCAATGATATATTAAAGCATGTAATTGCTGCATGATTGTCTGGAGTAGCAATGCATAGTCCAATGGCAAAAATGTTATTTCTTGGAATAAGTGGCTATTTTATAACTCTTGAAAATAATCTGAAACAGCTTTATGAACCTTGTGCCATGTGTCTAGTAATAGCCACTTTTCTTGTTCTTAGTTGTGGTCTGGACCAGATGTGTAACTACTTTGAGAACAGATGTATTAAAAGATTGGAAACATGGACTGAGATTTGAGAATGTTTCAATTTTAATCTGTGTTTGTCAGATATTGCAATCATTTATTATATTCTAAGGCTTGCCATTTTCTTCTTTTTATGCTACATTTTTGCTTTGTAGTTTCATTTTTAATTTATTCAAATTAAATTTAATGGATTAAAAGTGCCGTGATTTTTAAACATTAAGCTCTATAGCAAGAGTGCATAGCTTCTCTTATGCTGAAAATCAAATTTGGTCTTTGAACATATGGAAGTGCAGTGCTAAAACTAATTTTAATCTCATTTCACTTGCATTTAATTAAAACTAAATATAGTTAATATGTTTATTCTGCAGTCAAGTATTTAGAAAGTTTTACTTTCTCTCATGCACATTGGAATCTGGAAACACTGAAAGCTTGTGGGACTTGTGAAAATACTGAAATACTGAGAGCTTGTGTGTAATGCTATAAGTTCAGGTTGTACACCTTTGTTCTTATGGTTCTGTAATTTCTCCTTTCGTGTTACATATTTATGTTTGTGCATATGTATAAATAAATCAATGCATATTGATTGTGTTCTTAATTTCTGGAAGATTTAATAGAGCTAATGATGATACAAAATGCCCAGATGCATCAAGTGATAATGAGCAACCTGGCTATGTCAGCAGCAGCATGCTTTGAATCCAATCCAAGCCAGGTAGGTAGATTGCTGATCTAGGGTAGATCTACATATGACAGAGGAGTTGATTTAGGAAAAAAAAGGAAAAAAAGGCATTTCTGTGCCAACTGTCTTGCCTTCTACTGGCTTCAACTGAAGGGCAGGAGAGCAGAAAAACATGTGCCTTGATGTCACATCATACATACCAGAAGACAATCATGGAATAGATTGCCATTTTTCAGTGATAACATTATAGGTTCCATTCTTAAATCTAACCTATTGTGAGAATGAATGTGCCTAAGAGATATCTCTAATACATAATGATTTTGTTGTTCTGAAATTAATTGGCTGCCTAGCATGTGAAATGAAGCTACTAATGAATGTGGGCAGGAATAGCAATGACACACATCATCTGCAATTATATGATGTCCATAAAATACTGAATGACTCTACATGTGTAATTGGATGTAAGAATAACCTTGAGAAACAGGAGGAAGAGGTGCAGCCAAGGCAATAGTTAGATAAGAGAAATCTGAGCCCAATGCAGAAATAGAATTTGAAAAAAAACGTTTCAGATATGACCATCCATAGTTCTCTTAGGATAAAAAGCAGAGAGAAGAGAAGCACATTTAGATTGCAAGATTCTGTAATTGTAACTTATAATAAAAGTGATTGTAGTACTCATAAATTCAAGGTCTACCTTCAAGAGCTGATAGCTTCAAAGCCCTGATTTGACAGCTACATATCTCCACCCAGGAGAAATAAAGGAATGTGATGCACCAAGTCAGTTTTCAGAAGTTTTTAACTTTTTCTGTCGGGATCCAGAATATATCTTGGGACTAACTTCATGACTTCTAATTATAATTACCGTATTTATTGGCGTATAACACGCACTTTTTCCCCCTGAAAATAGGGGGCAAATGATGTGTGCGTGTTATACGCCGATATAAGCTCTCCGCCGCCCGGCCCCACCTCGGCCCGGGCAGCCACGGCCCTTCCCCGTCCTCCTGCTGCCGCTGCCGCCGCGGCCCTTCGNCCCTTCCCCATCCTCCCGCTGCCGCCACCGCCAAGCTCTCCGCCGCCCGGCCCCACCTCGGCCCGGGCAGCCGCAGCCCTTCGCCACCCGGCCCCACCTTGGCCCGGGCAGCCACGCCCCTTCCCCATCCTCCTGCTGCCGCTGCCGCCAAGCTCTCCGCCGCCCGGCCCCACCTTTAAGTTTTTTTCCTGAAATTTCCCTTAAAATGAAGGTGCGTGTTATACGCCTGTGCGTGTTATACGCCAATAAATACGGTATTATGCGCAATGAATTATTATTTTCACTACTCACCCTTTCAATATCTGTTTTAAATACTGCAGCCAGATGTTCTGCCTAAAACGGTCACAACAGCAATATTAATAGATTTGAGTATAAACGGTTTTCTAAGTCAAAGCCACTGTGAGGTTATAGAAAGGAGAAAGGAATAATGCTGACAGTTGGAAGGGGCTGGAGAAGGTGGCTAGAGAAAGACTCTTGGAGATACTAGATTCCTAGCTTATCAAGGCAAAATACGTCTTTACTATTCTTTAAAGGTAAACTTGGATTCTTTTAGTCAATTCACTTCAATTTATTGCTCATCTCATGCTGTTGCAACAGGAAATACAATTTATTAACAGGACTATATCAGTGCAGCCACAGGTAAAACCATTTTGGGTTTATGATCCTTGAGATAAGAACCATTGTCTTAAGTGTCCTAATCTTTCTTTCTAGCAGATACCCCTTATTCCCTGGCAGACAGAGGATGAAGATGAGATGGACATGGTATTCCACCACCATTATGCACCCTATCCATGCATCCTTCCATTCAGAACATGGAAGCCTCCATCTCAATCCTCAGTTTTGACACCGCAGCAGCCCACCATTCGCCATGTGGGCCCAGATCTTCAGTCAACAGGGAGACAAGATGATAGGTGAGCAGAACTGTGCAGATGGGAAAAGATTATAAACAATTGAAGTGTTTCATTTCAGTATTCCAATACATATTACAACAATTCATCCAAATGTTACATATAAAATATGGAAGGCTAAGATGAGTGATAAAATAGTAATATTCATCACAAAATTATGGAAGGTAGGATACACCTGGACTTGGGACCTTCTCTAGATTATGATAAGCCAAGTGAAGCATACTTGCATTGTTTAGTCACCACCACTAATATCCTGTCTGTGGCATTGCTATTATTCTTTATTATCTGTACTCCCAGATTCTGCATATAAATGTTTGCTAAATGTGTAAATATCCCAGATATTTACCATTGCTTATTCTTGTAGAATTTATTCAATTACTTCAAATCTTGAAAAACATGATATTTACAGAGAATTAAAAATTCAGCAATATTAGAAGCTTCATTTGGCTCCTAGTATTTTATTAGGCATTTCAAAGACAAGGTCAGATGAAATTTCTGCTAATTTAATAAAAAGGAAGAAACTTGCTTTAACCAAAAAGGGGGAGGACCTTGAATACTGCAGAACTATCAGTGTCAGATAGTTCCCCTGGGTATTGAGAATTAGCCATGGATATTTCCCACCACGTTGCCCGCTGTAATATAAATATCCCATTTTAATTTATCTCTGTTTAGTCAAGCGGTACCCCCACCCCCACCACCAAGTGCCACTGGAACTGTCACAGCCGATGTCTTACCAGCTTCAGGTAAGAATGCAGTGGATGGACCACAGATCCATTTCAATAATATGCCCATTATTCCTATCATAACTTTCTGATGCAGGCGGAGTTGTAGAGTCTATTTGCCCTGGTAATTTCTGTACTGGCTTAATGATAGTTTGGCCATTTACTACAAAGTCTTAACTTGGCAGCTTTAAGATGTAGCTAGATTGATCTAGATGGATGTAAACTAGGAAAGTCAAATCAAGCCTAATCAGAGGAAACTGTAATACTGTTCTGTATTGTTCACCCCTTGATGATGTTTTAGACAGATTACAACTTTACAGTCATAGGACTGTAACTATTTTTTTTTAAAGATCATTATTTTTAAAAGCATAAGCAATTTAAAAGGGCCCAATTTCACCAGATTCTATAATTTCCTATGAAATCTTGCAAGATTGCCAATAAAAGAGATTTTATGACATTTAGCAATCTTACATGATTTAACCATTTATTATTCAACAAGGTTTTTATTATTATTTTATTGGGGGAGATCCAAGTTGCATCTAAGTGTTGTAAATTCTCTCATGCTCACGGTATTGCATTGCCAACATTGACTAAATAATATTTGAATTTATTTAAAAGTCATTTTATAGATATGAAAGAACTATTTTCTCTCTAGGAAAAGGAGATGAGGGACAGGAGGAAAGCAAAGAGAAGTGTGCGGCCAGTGGCAGTTTAAGCACCTTTCCTTTGTTAGAAATTCTGTCAAGATAATCTATGCAATTTTCTCCTTCCAGAATATTACGACTACACTGCGCAATGGAAGTGAAATTAAAGTTTCATCTATTCTTCCTACAAAAAAATGCAGATTCCTAGCTGAAAAAGGCCTAAAAAGTTCTTCTGAATTGCACCAGAGTATGGCAGGACAAACTTTGTATCATACTGTTTTCCTAATAGGATCAAAGCCTAGGATCAAAGCTAGTATGTTTATATTTGTGCACATATTTCAAACTCTGTAATAAATTGTATATTATGTTATATGAATTATGCATAATGCCTCTATTCACAAGTGCTGCTTCCATTTTCTACAGAGCAGCTGCACTTTAATATTTTGCCTTGGTTTGTCAGCAGTCTTCCAAGAAGTATATATCTTTTTATTATTGTTATGAATTCTTGAGCCCAAGAAGATTAAGTGTGTACTGATACTTCTTCACTTTTATGCTTTGGACTGGCACTTTGCTGTTACCATCTCAGTTTGTTTGTTTGTTTGTTTGTTTGTCTGTTTGTTTGTTTAAGCTGAGCATCAGACCAGCCTTTGTCGTTCTTCAATAGATATTCCTCAAGTCTTCTTCACTTTAAGATACTCAAGTGGTATCAACAGCATTTTTTAGCCATTTTAATTCAAGTTTTGTTTCTCCTAGTTCAGCATTTCTCATTACAGGTTCTGCAGATAAACTGGGTAGATAAGATGCAGTACACTATCTTAACACAGTTCTTTACCAATTTTGAGCCAATTAGTTGTTCCTTAAGTCATTCTAATGTTCGCTTTCTAGTCAGCATATAAATAGAAATGAAGTTCTCTGATATGCTTAAGAACTATTCTCAAGTTGCTCTAATTCATGCAGTTGGAAAAAAATTGTGTACAGGTATTCCTTGCTTAGTGACCACAATTGGGACCAGCAACTTGATCTTTAAGTGAAGCGGTCAGTATGTGAAATCACAACTATGCTCATGATCTTACTTCAGCTTACCTTTGCTTTACAAACTTCTGAAGGTCATAAATGCAAGAGTTGTTTGTAAAGTTACATTTCATCACTGTTGTAACTGCAAACAGTCACTAAACAAGGCAACCATTAAATGAAAACCACCTGTAATCAGTAAACAAAATTTAAAGTAGTTTTGGAACTCCAGTTTCTTTTCCACTATCCATGGAAATGTGTTTGGTTTAACACTCTCTTTTTTTTGTTATTGGAATATAGTTGGATCTGTTCCAGTCTTTTGGCGGCTGCTGCAGTTCTCATACTTGCTAAAAAAAAAACAAAAACCTGCAAGCAACATGTTAATAGCATCATTTTACAAAATTTTAAACTGTACTCATAGCATTTCATTTACACTTATAGTCAGGGCTTTTTTTCTCATAGAACGCCCAGAACGGAGTTCCGGCACCTTTTTTGGATGGAACCTTGTAGGGTAGGCAAGGCGGGTTGGGACGTGTGTGAGTTCTGGCACCTTTTTTTTTTTTTTTTTTTAGAAAAAAAGCACTGCTTATAGTAAATGAATATAGTTAACAATATTTTCTGCAAGCCATTTCATTTTGTTTTTCAAATTGTCTGGCTTTATTTAGTGAAGACCCACTGGTGATTCGGGCATATTTGTTCCAATATTTCTTTGTATCAAATAGAATTCTCTTTTCTTATCTTTGATTATACCCATCTATGTATAAAACTTTTCTTTGACTTTAATTTCTTTAAATAAGTATTTTGTCATTCTTTGTTAGGTGTTTTTAGATGTATCTCCTTATCACTTTTTGTTCTTTCAAATTCAATAGATTTTTGTATTGCCAGCCATTTTTCCTTCTTTTGATATCTCCAGTACAAAATATTTTTATTGTTTTGTCCTTAATAATATCACAAATTTTGGTCCAGAGTTCTCCAGGAGCTCTATTCATAACTTCTATTTTTACAAATCTGTTGTTTATCCTTACCACATACTCATACAGAATATTGGGAGAAGCCAATTAGACTTACCCTTACTCATTTTACCTTTTACAAATGTTTTGCCTTTCCCCTTCTCTCTTAATTTTGAAGAAAAGTCTTATATATAACCCCAGCTCCAACCTGGATTTCTCCATTATTATTTGCCCCAAGTGGACTGCAGACTACAAACTACATAGTTGGGAGCACCCACAGGAAGAAACAATTGGACTAAGAAATGTGCATAGATTTTGCTTCTCAAGGGTGATCTGTGACTATTTTTCCTTCCAAATAAAAATAGCTGGTGCTTTTTAGATAATTTTTTACTGCCGTGTATTGCTTTTATTAGCACTTTCTGAGACTGTTTTATTTGCTTGATTGACATAGTGCTTTTTTGAGACTTTTATGCTTTCTTTGCAAAGAGTTTCTAGATTTACTCTATTAAATATTTCCTTCGTGTATTCTATTACTATATTAAGATTTTATAATTTTATAATTTAATTATAAAAATGAAGGGAAATAATTATGAAATCATAATACAATCATTGCATCTTGTCAAGTTACATAGAGTTCCCACTTCCTCTTTTCTTTCATTTGCCTTATATGAATTTCCCCAAAAATGAATGTCTTCCAGATGTGCATCATCTCGTATTTCCTAAACTTAGCCATCATCCATATGCTATGATTTGCTATTTGTGGTGAACAGTCCACTTTGAATATCTTGAATAATTTTGAGATACTAATGTATAATCCCTTACCATGCTCATATTTCACCTAAAGCCCAAGAATCAAGATCCCTCTCCAGGCCATCGATTCACCATGAATGTGCAGTTATAGGCTCATAGAGCTAATTGGCAGAGCTTGCCCAGATAATAAAATGAAATAATTCTACAACTTTTGCATTGAAAGCTACTACTGCCTGAGGCCCTGAAGTATAGACAGAATATTTTTGCTTAGCATTGTGCCCAAACTTCTGTTTTGATTAGATCACTGCTCCACTGACATAGCAATTTAGGCCCCGGTGTTTCCTCTTGAGGTAGCCATGTTTATCTCACAACTAGAAAATGACAAAGCAGCTTGAAAGGAGCTTATCATACAAAAAAGCAAAAGGCAAAATGGGAGCCCCAATCCTGATACTTTTCTTTGTATATATACAGCAGAATAAATCCATCATTATTTCAATCTACAGAAAAGGAGATAAGAAAGCTCCAATTTTCTTCTGGCTCTATTAAATGTAATTAGCAAGGTGTATGTCAGGCACTTCCATGGAAAACCCATAAACAGGTTGGTGCAACATAACATCCTGGAAGAAAACAAGCCAGTTGAAGCTCAGTCAATGTCTTAGTCTTCATCTTCTACAGAAAAATACATTATTCATCCATGCAGGATTCTTTATTGTCCTTATTGATTCAAAGGCAGCTTCTGGCTCCCTACAGTCCATGGAGAAATAGAATGCTGCTTCTACTGACTGATGCCTTTGAAAGCAATATAACACTATATAAGTTTACTGGGTTGCTTCAAGACACCTCACATCAATAATCCACATTCACAAGGTGTGAGAAAAGTTTGTATTCTGGTGCCCTCCTCCTTTTCTACCTCTCTATTAATTTGTTGATTTAAACTTTGATAAACCCCAAGTTTCATTCCTCCTCTCAGGTTACTGACTGGCTAAATCAGAGGTCCCCAACCTTTTGGGCACCAGGGACCGGTTCCGTGGAGAGAGGTTTTTCCGCGGACCAGATGGGGCGTGGTTTCATGTACTGCCTGCATCCCGCGGATGGGTCTTTGTTTGTTCGTGTGGACCAGTTTCTGGCATGCCATGGCCTGGTGCCAGTCCATGGACCAGGGGTTGGGGATCCCTGGGCTAAATAACTGACATCTTTCCATCCTTCTATATGTAAATGTTGTAGCAGTCCTTTCTTAAACACCAGTGAGCCTGAAATAGACTCTAGGTCAGGGGTGTCAAACTCAATTTCATTGAGGGACGCATCAACATTGCGGTTGCCCTCAGGGGACTGGGTGGGTGTGGCCAGGGTAGGTGCAGCCTACTGGGTGGGCGTGGATGGAGTGGGTGTGGCCTACTGGGTGGGTGTGGCCAGCTCTACATCGTCAAGGGTGCCTGTGGGGGCCTGGGCAGGAGTGGGACAGATCTGAGGGTCTCTGGCAGAAGGGGATGGGACCAGGGCAAGTGCCAAGGCATGGTCCACTGGAGGAGCCTCACTGTTCCTCTCAGGCTATGCAGGGGGGAGGCTAATGGAGCTAAGACTGAATGTGTTTCAGCATAGATGGCCACCACAAAATTGTACATTGGCTCCTGGATGGCCTGGGCCAGGGCCAAGGCAGCGGGGGCCGTTCCCTCACTGTTTCCAGGATGGCTTCACGGGCCATATAAAACCACTTCATGGGCCGCATCCGGCCCCCAGGCCTTGTGTTTGACATGTCTGCTCTAGGTGGTCTTACTTCTTATTCCAGCAAAGAGCAGCAGGTTATCTATTACAATAAAACTAAAGTAGTCATATTTTGTAAATGGCCATTCCTCACTCTAAGAAAATATTGTTAGCATTAATCAAAACAAAGTATTTAAGTATTTGGTTATATCTTTCCAAGCCTTGGTGACTTAGAAAAATCAGCAATAGTAGGTCACCTCTAGAGCCCATAAACTTTAAAACACAGTTTTGCATTTTGCTAATTGCAGTGGCAATAACTATTTCCCAGCTGCCATATCTTTTAAAAAACCCTTTTATTAGCTATTATTGTATGATGTGCAGCTTGTTCTTTAAGCTGTACATGACTAGTTTACTCTAATTATTTGGCGCTTTATTGCAAGTGCTTGCTGCATATTAAATTCCTGGCTGACCTAATTCCTAGGGCGACCTATATGCTTTGCTGGTTAGAATATTGGTTTAAATGACTTTAAATGGATACTTAGGTCTCCCTGAGCTTACAGTTAAGTGTATATTTCCATGGAAGCCAGGCTTCCTCCTGTCTTTAAAATATTATTAGTTATCAGTCTACTATCTGAATTTATTTGGTTCTGAGAAAGTCTAGTTTGCTCTGCAACAAAGAGTCCTTAACACCAATATTCAGCAAACTTTGTAAATGTGAATATGTACCTGAGTCAGTCATGTCTCTGATGACTACATAGAAAAGTTCATGGAGTTTTCTTGGCAGCATTTTCAGAAATGGCTTGCCAGTGACTTCTTAGGCTGAGAAAAGACTCAAAGATGCTCTACATCTAGCAGCTGCTTGACTTATATTTATATGGACCGCCACTAGACGGTGGCCAATCAATTTAAAGTGCTCGTTTCCACCTAAATACAGAGGCTTAAACTAATACAGACTGTCTATAATTCAAATAGAATAATCAGTTAAACGTTTTTATAACAGACCTCCTGAATTAGCTAAATACATAACAAGCTATTCCACTGGTTAATTGTCCTAAATGTTAGAAGTTTCTCCTTAATTCGAGATTGCTTCTCACTTTGGTCAGTTTCCAACCATTGTTTCCTGTCCTGCCCTCTGGTGCTTTGGAGAATAATTTGACCCCCTCTTCTTTGTGGCAGCCCCTCAAATACTAGAATACTGCTATCAGGTCTCCCCTGTTTTTTTTTATTTAGACTAGCCAAATCCAAGTCCTGCAGTCTTTCTTCATATGTTTTAGTCTCCAGGCCTTTGATCATTTTAGTTGCTCTTCTCTGAACTTTTTCCAAAGTCTCAACATCTTTTTTGCAGTATGGTGACCAAAATTGGTTGCAGTATTCCAGGTGTGGTCTCACTAGAGTTTTATAAAATGGTACTCATATTCAAGTGATCATCCACTAGGACTCCAAGGTCCCTCTCACAGTTACTGTTTTTGAGCCAGGTCTCACCTAATCTGTACTTATACCTTTGGTTTTTTCCTGCCTAAATGTAACACTTTGCTTTTTGCCACATTAAAATTCATTTTGTTGAATAGGGCCCATTGTTCAAGTTTGTCAAGATCTTTTTGGATCCTGAGTTTGTCTTCTGGGGTATTGGCTATTCCTTCCAGTTTAGTGGAATCTTTCGTAGGTTCTCTGAGTTTGTTAAAATCTGCTCTTTTGAAGTTTAAGACACTGGTTGGATTATTCTCTATTGCTTGTGTTTGGATTATATTGAATGTCAGTATGATGTAATCACTTTCACCCAAAGTTCCAGCAACTTCAACTCCCTCCATCACTTCTTCTCTATTAGTAAGAATTAGGTCCAATATATCTTTTTTTCTAGTTCCCTCCTCCACCTTTTGGATGGCAAAGTTGTTGGCTAGGTTGGTTAGGAATCTATCTGATCTTCCACTTGCTGCAGAGTTTGTCTCCCAGTTAATATCTGGATAGTTGAAGTCTCCTATTATTACTGTGGAATGTTTCCTATATACATTTGTTAACTGGTTGGCAAAGAGTTCATCTATTTCTTCTGATTGGTTGGGTGGCCTGTAATATACACCTATGGCAATGTCACTTCCCCCCCCC